ATGCGGTTTATTGCATTTACGTGATGTAGTCGCAGTCTGAATATTCCAAACTGTTTTTCTTCTCATAAAGATTTTTGACAAATTTCCAAATTATCGTTGTTCCCCTAATTAAGTCCTGTGCAAGGACCCAGGTCATAATTATCAAATTATGTGAGAAAACCTACAGCAGTCAGGAGATTCTACTAATGCACGTACAGATATGATAAATGTCTTTCTGATTATTGCGTGTGTTCGTAATGTATTTTCAAGATTTGCGAATGTCTTCGTCAACTACATCACTGATGAGTGAGATGAGGACCCATCTGGTATTGGAATGATAAAATGTTTTTTTAATATTTTTGGGTGATCAGTATCACAGACCTTTAATTACTTTTTTTTCTAATTTATTATTACATTAATAAAAACAAATGGAAATAGTCAGATTTTGAGATGAATGGAGAATATTAGAGGTTAAAATATGGAATTTGTCAGAAAACAAATGTCATAGAAACTATTAATTTGTATTTTTATTCCTGTGTCTCCTGTTACAAATAAAACTCACCACCCAGGGCAATGTAGAATCCAAAAGTTGATAATGTACATGTAGCCAAAATAATGCCTATTATGTAGAGGGGGGGGGGGGGGGGGGGGGGGGGGTGGTCGGGTAGCCTAGTGGTTAAAGTGTTCGCTTGTCACGCCGAAGACCCGTGTTCGATTCCTGACATGGGTACAATGTGTGAAGCCCATTTTCTGGTGTCCCCCACCGTGATATTGCTGGAATATTGCTGAAAGTGGCGTTAAACCATACTCACTCACTATTATGTAGAGCGTTGGTTGGTTGGTTGGTTGGTTGGTTGGTTGGTTGGTTGGTTGGTTTTTCCACACTGAGCAATATTCCAGCCATATGGCGACGGTCTGTAATTAATCTACTCAATTGGGATACAATCACATGCCTGAACCAAGAAAGCAAGCCCGACCACCAGATCCTGTTAGTTACCTCTTACAACAAGTAGGGGTTGCTGAAGACAAATTCTAACCCAGATCGTCACAGTTGCCCATTATGTAGAGCCAGGATTGAGTGAAAATGTGTGTGTCTATGAATGATGGTATGTGCCAGTGTGTACAGTGTACAGGTCACAAATCAAGTTAAGCAGGGACAGTTGCCAGAAGTTGTTGGATGGGTCACACGTTTGACTCTTGAGAGTTTCTAAGGCTTCGGTCCTGCCCCACACTAAAGCACATGGAACACATGGTGTCTCCAAAGGCAGATGACTTGGGTACTTGGTAGGATGAGATGGTAATGTGACTGTTCACCTTCTAGCCCCTCATAGGCTGCTTGGGTTGTATACCCCCCAGGGAGCTGAGAATGAAAATTGAGTGCACACTGATCCATTGACCAATATTAATAGTAATGTAGATCTGTCATGATCTAAGGAGATTTGAGCAATTCTTTGGAAAGTGTGCTATGATGTGTGCAGAAAATGATGATTATACAAATATGTTTGTCTTTCTGTATGACAAAATCTGTGTCTTGTATATCTGATGTCTCCCACCAGTTAATCTTCCCTTTTCCTGGCATTTGGTAAAAAATACTTTGTTTTATGACACCACAGCTGCTTGAACTTTACAATGTTGGTTCAGGATGAGACTTCAGACGATGAAAGACAAAGATTGGTCCTTGAGGAAAGTGTTCTTTGAAAGCATTTGTTTTAGATTCTCGGGGAATTCTCATGGAAGAAGTGAGCTTGAATGTAGGAATTGTTCAAGATTTTATATAACCCTAGGGCTCGCCAGCTGCTGTTTTATGTAGGGTGTTACGCAGGTATAAGTTTTAAATATTTATGTAGAATGCATCCTACGGCTAAACAATTGGCTTTACTCTCTAAACATTTAAGCAGTTAATATAAACCTCATAAGAAAACAGGCTTCATCCCAATGCTGTCAAACATGAAATGGATTTGTTGAAGATAAATTTGGAAATGATATTGTGTCTAGCAAATGGAAAATGAATATGTTTATGATTCCAGGAATCACGAGATCTTTTTTGTTGTGGTTTACTGATTCGACTGATGCTTGCTTGCAGAATGCCACAATCAAAATATAAACAGAACCATTTTAAGGTTCATTTATATTTATCTAACCACAGGAGTTCGTATCTAAAAATAGATGCCCTCATGCATATTCATGACCATCTCGTGAGCCTGGGCTTGCGTGTGGAGATGGTCATGAATATGCATGAGGGCGTCTATTTTTAGATACGGACTCCTGTGATCTAACTTTCTATTTTTGATGAATTAGATATTTTTTTTCAAGCTTTGAATAATAATTTTTTGAATCATTGTGTATGAAGCCCCTTGCCACTGCAAACCCATTCTAAAGTGTCAAGTCTTTGAATGGCATTTAGAAGGGAGACGCATAAGGAAGAGAGTTAATGGATGTCGCCTTCTTAATTATGAGGAACAACGTTTCGGAGTATATATTTACTATTTCATCAGGTGAGTAAGTATATACCCTGAAACGTCTTTATAAAGTGGACAAAGTCTTCTCGGACATGAGTTTGTTTGTTTGCTTGTTTGTTGTTTAACGCCGCACTCAGCTTTATGACGGTCTGTAAATAATTAACTCTGGATCAGACAATCCAGTGATGGATATCATGAGCATCGATCCACGCAATTGGGATACGATAACATGCATCAAGTTAGTGAGTCTGACCACCCGATCCCGTCAGTCGCCTCTCACGACAAGCATAGTCACTTTTCCCGAAAAGAGCCAGGTTCGATTCCCCGCATGGGTACAATGTGTGAAGAACATTTCTGGTGTCCCCCACTGTTATATTGCTGGAATGTTGTTAGTAGTACTGAGTGCGGCATACAAACAAATAGTCAGTATCACAGACGATGATAGGCGACCACACCCACAGTCACTCCATTGGGAACCGGTGGCCCTGTTGTCGAAGGCGCAACAATTTGTGTGTTTATTTTTGGTTATGCAGGGATGAAGGTTTATGGACAATCAACAATCAATTGAGGTCAATCATCAATCATTAGATTCACCCTGATTGTGTTTCTAGAATTGACGGCACCATACCCATGGTTTACCAGAAACCTATGATTGTGGGTTCAATCCCTGTTCGCCCCTATTATGTTTCTAGGTTTGTCAGCACCATACCCGTGCTCGTGGGTTTCACCGAAGTGGTAAACGTCTGAGACCTGCATCACTTCGGGCTTTCCTCCCACATTAAACTGGCACACCGTGATATGACTGGAATACTGTTAAAAGCTGCGTTAAACCCAACTCACTCACTCACTCACTCCCACACGAAGCAAGCACTGATGAGCTGTAAAGCCAGTGCTTTAAGGTCCCATCCAAAGGTAACCTCCACTTGCACAAAACGATCTTAGCGCTAAGACTATTGTAAGCCTATGCTAAAGTATGGGAGTTACGATCATCTTAGCGCTAAGATCACTTTGTGCAAGTGGGCCCAGATGGAGGCACAGCTATGTAGCCACCTGTTGCCCTTAACAAGGTAAAGGAACAACCCAGGAAGAGAACAACATGACACCACATTAGTCAGCATCTTATTGATTGTGATCTCATTCCAATACTGTGAGAATAAACAGAGACACTGAGTTCCTCTCTGCAACTCTGTCACTCTGCGACTCTGCGACGTAATATCACCATTAATGTTGTTGCTGCTAGTATGCGAGTCTGATGTAATAGGTATACTGATGTGATTTGATGAAATTAGTGTTTTGAGATACAGCCAGACCTGCTTATTACATGGTTTCTTTTTGGTTTTTGTTGTTGTTGTTTTTTGGTGTGTTTTGTTGTTGGTTTTTTTTGTTGCTTTTTTGGGGTGTTGGGGGGTATATATATCATCTGTACTGGAAGTTTTTTAAATGACTAGACGTATATTTATTACTGCATTGTGCCATTTAATATGGTAGTTTCTTGTTTTGGATCATTTTATTTTAGGAAAAGGTCATATTTTTGCCAGTGAATCTTAGCTCGAATGAGCTGGAAAGAACAAACTTAGTCATTATGTCAATGAAGCTGTGAATTTTGAGAAAAGAAAGTTACCATGGGTACGACACATTGGTTTTATTATATCATTTCTATATTTCTCTTTAAATGGTTTGAATGTCACAGACAGACATGTAAGCAAGTAATTCGTCTGGCCTGACCCAAACATATTTAACACAGTGACATTGATTTTTTCAAAGCAGTCCATTCATTGATGCCCTGTGATCACAATAAGCTTGGATCACTATGAATATTGTGGTAACACTTATGGTACTTCATTTTGTTTGTATATTTTTTATTTACAGTCATTGCCTGTTTTTTCTCTTTTATTTTATTATTTGAGTTGGTGACTTTCATTGCCCTCGAATATTTATGATTTCATATTTATTATATACATATTACAAATGGATGTTTCTTTATGCATGACAATTATTTTTTGTGGTTTTGGTATTTATTATGTACTTATGTTGAGGATGATTTTGCTTCGTTAGTGTTTTAAGTGTTGTATAATACTTTATTTCAATAGATTATTTTTTCTGTTTTGCATCGAATGCGAATTTTGTTGTGATAATTTTATCAATCATATATAATATTGACTTATGTCTCCTTTTTTGCATGTAGGTATTTCATATCCTTTCAGAATCTTGCAAATATTTTTTGGTACCAAAAGTAAAAATATTTGTGTTTTGATGAGAGATTGAATTTATTAAAATTAAAAAATATTATACAGGATATTTATTGAACGTGGTTATGACAGGTAACAAAATAATATTAGATTTTTATACCTATTATTACAACGTTATGGGTTATATTGAATTTTATTTTTTAATCATGTGTTTGTTTTTCAGCAAAACTTTTTTTCAAATATTTGGAATGACATTTATGATGGTAATGAAGGTTTTTTTTATGCGTATCAAATTGTGTGTTTATTAAAAATGGTGTGTATGGTGCTACCCTGTTAAGTCCAATGTAATATTTGCATCATTTTGTGTTTACAGACACATTACATGACGACGGTGGGATGATGACATTTCGACGTTTGTCAAACCTCTTCTCAAGTAGACGGAGCACTGCGCGTTCCCCTTCCTCCCCCGAGACGGAGTTTATGTACCATTCTACGACTAGTCTCAACAGTCACATCAAGAAAAATCCTCGGGCAAATTTTAAGAGGGAAAAAAGTGTCACAGAACTCATGCGAAATGCATCTAAACATGGAAACGGAACTTCAATTATTCATCAAGATGGGACTTCCGTGATAATGAAAGAGGGAAAAATAGTCAGTGTTAGACAAAAGAATGAAACGCCACGGGGTAGTCCCTTGTTTCAGGGGAGAGGGCTGTTTAAATTCAGAGAAACAACAGGGGGGACAACTAACAAAGTTGGAAATGGCAGTATGGTAGAGTTAGCTCCCTTGATTACAAATGGCCGACTTTCTTCACATGAAAACAAGATGGAGGACAACAATTCTTGTGGAAGTGATGAAGTGTTTGATAAGTCTGCTGGAATAATAAGAGAAAATACTCAAGAGACCAGTTGTTGTGATGAAATCAAAGGTGAAAGCGATGCTAATGAAAACAATAAGTTAATTGCTTGTCCTATTCATGAAAATGAAAACGCAGAAAATGTGACTGCTGTTGCTGAAGAAGTTGAAATTGTTATCAGTATTAGTGATGATGATGGCATCTTGAGTTCAATGCCACTAACCCCAAATACAAAGCATCGGCTCACGAGGAGTGATCTTGTCCTTGATTCAGACAAAACTGACGATAAAGATCAGTCAAATGGAAAGAAAAAACTAAAATGTGCAAGGAGTTCTGAAGTTTTGTCAAGAGCCCCATTGCTGCGGTTTCCATCGGTTGAACATTTAGACATTCCCAAGGGTATGCCACGATCTGCTAGTGACAACAACTTCAAGAAAATCAAATCCTCACCAAGACCGTCACCTCTCATCCCAAGAAGATGGACATTTAGCAAACTAAAAACATGATTCATCCGAGATGTTTATTATTGCAATGAGACTTGGTAAAGATGAATCAAATACAACAAAATGTTTGTATAGATGAGTATGGTTATTTTTATTTCATTCAAGAAATATATACGTAAGGTCATGGAAATTATGACTGGCATTGTGCTTGAAAACGATAATTATTAGTATTGCTATAGCTGAAGGATATAATGAAATGTACTGCTCAATATTTGACTAAAGATGACTATTTTGGTCCTTAACAAACATTGAGGAGTATATTAGCATAATTTACTTATCATCTGATGTGGCAATGACTTGGTAGACTTGCTTCATTCTTATTCTTAGGTTTTATCCAACTTATTTTTAGGTTTTTAAGTTCCTTAAAAGTTTTTTTAGGTCCTAAAAAATTATAACCAGATTGAATTTGAATGATTCTCTATAAAGTATGATGTCTTTCATTGAGATCAGTGTTTTGGCCGATACAAGTTTGAAAACAAGAGGAAGATAAACTGAATATGAAGAAACGGCAGTTCTGGATTTTCCTCTCCATTAGGTGATGACGTGACACAGGACACACTAAAGGGCAAAATGACTTCTGTCACATTTATCTTTGAGGATGTCAGGGTGTGCAGATTGATTGCAATGTCTCGAGCCAGGTTTTCCTGCTTCTGTTTTAGAATGGAGGCCATTATGTAACCATGGTATGTGACATGTATAGCAAAAAATGTAATCGTGAATCTCGGACGGACTTTGGACTGTTCATTATGGCTGAAGGCTTTTCATGGACCACATCAACAAATATCCAGGAACATATTGAGATGGAGTTGTTCAGCATCTGGTACGATTGCAAGAAAATTGAGCGACGCAATCAATCAAATCAAACCTTTACCAATTCTTCTTCCTAGGAAAAACATGGGATTTTACAAACCTGCAATATACTTACATGAAGAGCGTCAGGGAGTCGACAATTTAAAACTTAGACATTTTGGGGTTGATGAACAGTATTATTTTACCTTGCCTGTTTTATCATAATCCTTACTTCACAATTGTCCAGATATAATAAGTATGAAAGAATATATATAGTCCCGCGATATTGGGGCTGACATTGCAAATGATATGGTCATAAACAATATATATCTTTTGAATCTGCAATTTCATATTCGACTGGGGGCAGTTGGGTAGCCTAGTGGTTAAAGTGTTCGGTCATCACCTCGAAGGAACAGGTTCAAATCCCTAATCGGATATATGTGAAGCCCATTTCTGTTGCCCCCGCCATATTGCTGGTATATTGCTAAAAGCGGCGTAAAACCATCATTGATATTCAGCTGGGGCAGTTGATCTTTGTAAAAGGCAGAAAATCAAAAAGTGATATACATGTATTACTCATCAAGACAAGAATCACAATTACTGGGTTGTCTCATGTCTGAGACGTCCACAGTTTGTTGTCTACAATAGTTAAGCACTCCTTCATTTCGTCTTTCATTCCCTGTTTTCATTGACGATGCCATGTGTATGTTAGTTTAGTCACGAAGATACTAACCAAAATAGTCTAGTATCTGTGTCCTTGTTGACCTAAGAAAGTAAATTGTACAAATATTCAACTGAATACAAGAATGTTATTTGTTGTGATTAATAATTGTAAATTTCCGTTGTAAAGATTGTTTGGATCTCAGGATATCTGAAGTTATTCAGATCTGCAATATGTGGTGATGTAGTGTTGTTTTAGAAATTGTCTTGTTGATAAACATTGATTTCCTGTGTCCATGCCATTCAGTGCTGCCACAAAGGATTTGTATATTAACATTGCTCTCATTTAATCTGCTTCACTGAATTCTATACTACTCAAGAAAAGAAAAAGAAAACCCGATTTGTTTAGTTACTATGTAAGCATTAGTAATTTGAAAGAATCAGGTGTTCTTTTACTTCTTTTGAGTAGTGTATTTTGTTATTTTAGGCCATGTAAATGCGTTTTGTCAACCATGGACCCAATGCTCTTTTACATTGCTGTGTTGCCATGTCGACCATGGACTGATTGTTGCTGTTACACCATGCCATTATGTGATTGCTGCTGTGTCCATGGACCCAGTGTTACATTGTTTCCTTGGGGAAATACAAGACACTGGCGCCACGGACCAAATGTTTTCCTGTTGTTTTCTGTTACTTCTGTTGCACTATGAACCCTTTAAATGTGTATGTGAGAGTCCACAGTTACGCCATGCTATAACGCCATGCTATAACGCCATGCAATGGATCACAGTAACGCCATGCAAACCTAAGGCTAGGTGCTGTGGCTATATGATCACAGTAACGCCATGCAAACCTAAGGCTAGGTGCTGTGGCTATAGGATCACAGTAACGCCATGCAAACCTAAGGCTAGGTGCTGTGGCTATATGATCACAGTAACGCCATGCAAACCTGAGGCTAGGTGCTGTGGCTATAGGATCACAGTAACGCCATGCAAACCTAAGGCTAGGTGCTGTGGCTATAGGATCACAGTAACGCCATGCAAACCTAAGGCTAGGTGCTGTGGCTATAGGATCACAGTAACGCCATGCAAACCTAAGGCTAGGTGCTGTGGCTATGGTTCATAGTAACGCCATGCAAACCTAAGGCTAGGTGCCGTGGCTATAGGATCACAGTAACGCCATGCAAACCTAAGGCTAGGTGCTGTGGCTATAGGATCACAGTAACGCCATGCTATAACGCCATACAAACCTAAGGCTAGGTGCTGTGGCTATAGGATCATAGTAACGCCATGCAAACCTAAGGCTAGTGCTGTGGCTATAGGATCACAGTAACGCCATGCAAACCTAAGGCTAGGTGCTGGGGCTATAGGATCACAGTAACGCCATGCAAACCTAAGGCTAGGTGCTGTGGCTATGGTTCATAGTAACGCCATGCAAACCTAAGGCTAGGTGCCGTGGCTATAGGATCACAGTAACGCCATGCAAACCTAAGGCTAGGTGCTGTGGCTATAGGATCACAGTAACGCCATGCTATAACGCCATACAAACCTAAGGCTAGGTGCTGTGGCTATAGGATCACAGTTACCCCATGCTATAACGCCATGCAAACCTAAGGCTAGGTGCTGTGGCTATGGTTCATAGTAACGCCATGCAAACTAAGGCTTGGTGCTGTGGCTATAGGATCATAGTAACGCCATGCAAACCTAAGGCTAGTGCTGTGGCTATAGGATCACAGTAACGCCATGCAAACCTAAGGCTAGGTGCTGGGGCTATAGGATCACAGTAACGCCATGCAAACCTAAGGCTAGGTGCTGGGGCTATAGGATCACAGTAACGCCATGCAAACCTAAGGCTAGGTGCTGTGGCTATTGATCACAGTAACGCCATGCAAACCTAAGGCAAGATGCTGTGGCTATAGGATCACAGTAACTCCATGCAAACCTAAGGCTAGGTGCTGTGGCTATAGGATCACAGTAACGCCATGCAAACCTAAGGCTAGGTGCTGTGGCTATAGGATCACAGTAACGCCATGCAAACCTAAGGCTAGGTGCTGTGGCTATAGGATCACAGTAACGCTGTGCAAACCTAAGGCTAGGTGCTGTGGCTATAGGATCACAGTAACGCCATGCAAACCTAAGGCTAGGTGCTGTGGCTATAGGATCATAGTAATGCTGTGCCAACCTAAGGTTAGTGCTGTGGCTATAGGATCATAGTAACACTGTGCCAGCCTAAGGCTAGTGCTGTGGCTATAGGATCACAGTAACGCCATGCAAACCTAAGGCTAGGTGCTGTGGCTATGGTTCACAGTAACACTGTGCAAACCTAAGGCTAGGTGCTGTTGCTATAGGATCATAGTAACGCCATGCAAACCTAAGGCTAGGTGCTGTGCCTATAGGATCACAGTAACGCCATGCAAACCTAAGGCTAGGTGCTGTTGCTATAGGATAACAGTAACGCCATGCAAACCTAAGGCTAGGTGCTGTGGCTATGGTTCATAGTAACGCCATGCAAACCTAAGGCTAGGTGCTGTGGCATTAGGATAATAGTAACGCCATGCAAACATAAGGCTAGATGCTGCGGCTATGGTTCATGTAACGCCATGCAAACCTAAGGCGTAGGTGCTGTAGCTATGGTTCACAGTGATACCATTTTATAACAACATGCAAACCTCGTGATAGGTGCTGTGACTATAGGATCATAGTAATGCCATGAAAACCTAGGGATAAATGCTGTCTCTATGGGATCGCAATAACGCCATAGCATAGAAACCCAGGGACAGGTTTTGTTGCCATGGGCTCACTATAATGCCATGATGTTATGCTTATTATTGACTAGGCTTTGGTTTGCGTAAAGGCTCAAAGCTATTCTATCAAAATGGCAGTCATATTCCTTTGAATTATGCAAGGCAACAGATTTCTTTTTTCTCGAGACCTGCCCGCCACCCCAAAAATACCACCAACCAAAATATGATCTTTCTTGTAAATAAACAACTTTTTCAACTTGTTGCCCAGTCCATGCAGTTCAGGGGACGGTTGGGTAGCCTAGTGGTTAAAGTGTTCGCTCGTCACGCCGAAGACCCGGGTTCGATTCCCTACATGGGTATAATTTGTGAAGCCCATTTCTGGGGTCCCCCGCCGTGATATTGCTGGAATATTGCTAAAGCGGCGTAAAACCATAATCACTCACTCCATGCAGTTCATAGTATGTCAGATTCCCAGAAGACCAGCTGTGTTGACCATGGCCTCAAATCCATCACTTCATACCATGAGATGCAAGGGGCTTGGTTCCCTCTTTATCCAGTCTTGTCCAACTGCACTTACCATGACATAGAGGGCATGGGGTAGCCTAGTGGTTGAAGCGTTCAGTCATCACCCCGAAGGCCCGGGATCGATTCTCTACATGAATACGCATGGAGCCCGTTTCTGGTGTCCTAAACCTTATTGCTGAAAGTTGCGTAAAACAATCCTCAGTCCTCACTTCAGTGACCCAGTGCCAGGTGTTATGGTTTAGTCAGTACCTATGGACACGGCCAGTGGCAAGTTATCAAAAAGTATAAAATACTGAATAGTTAACCTCACAAGTCATTCATGGGCCCTTTTTGGTGTCAATACAGGTTTTCTGTCAAACTGGACAGTCAGTTTTATCATGTCTGTAGATGAGGATTTCTCTGGGTACATAACATTTTCCTCAACCTCTGTGATAATTTAACAACAAAATGGCAGATATTGTATCGTTTGTAGTCACATTATGGAGTATTCAGGTGAATACATGCTCTTACGTTTTTCTTTTCTGAATAGGGAACTGTGATTTCTTTTTATTTGGTACAAGAAATAATTCAAAACCAACTGTAGGAAAATTTACCAATAACTTTCCTCTTGTCAGTATTAAACCAATATTGATCTTTGGATGGTTGGTGGGAAACTTACAAGACAACTTGGCGGCAACTAATTGTGTTTAATTGACAGTGAAGAGGACGTCTGTTGAAAATCTGAAAATGTTTGTTTGATTTAAGCCAAAATATAGGATTTATGGCCGATATGTAATAGAGGTAGAAGTTTTGTAAGAATTATTGATCTTTGGATGGTTGGTGGGAACTTGATTAATTAACATGATCAGCTGCTTGTACTGAAATAACCATTCAATGTTTCACAAGAAAAACATGCTCTTAGTTTTTGTTAATCGAGAATTTGTCAAAATATGTTGAAATTAGTGCCGTAAAGCATGAGTAGGCTGCTTTCTGATTGGCCAATGTTGACTTCTTGTCAGTCATTCCATTGGTCAATCAAAGTTCACGCAAGATTGGTCTGACATGAGCTGTAATGGGATGTCCTCATATCTTTGTGTTAGCGGTATGGAGAGCTAAGATCTGATTTTAATGAGATTGATAAGTAAATGATTGACATAGCTATTTATTTTTATTTTTATTTCGACCGCCCTAATGTGGAAAACCGAAATAAATCTGTAAAATATTAAATTAAAAATGGGTGGCCTTATTGTAATAATTCTATTAATCTAGAAAGACAGGTAAGAAAATTTTGCTTTCATTTCCCCTCTCAAAGGCTATACCATACGTCATGTTTTTTCTTGTCTCCATGATCAGTTGGAGGGACCATTCGGAGAAAAAATCAGAAAAGTTAAGTAGAATACAGCTTTTGTTTTCAACTTTTGAAAACACAACATTTACCTGAGTATACTCTCATGTGCATCTGACGTGACTTATTTCCTCGTAATGAATATAGGGCTGAGTTGTTTCAAGTATTCTCTACTTGAGTATTACCGTATTCGACGTAATAAGCTCCCCGCTCTAATAAGCGCCCACGGCGATATTTGATACTATATTGGCTAGTGAACAATCCCAATTAGCACTGCTTACGATTGTTCAATGCACACAAGACTTATTTATTCGTGTATAATACGTGTGTTATATGCATCCTTAATTATGGGAAATTAAATTCTGGGAAAATATCTGTCGTACATAAACATTTCAGGCTGTCGGCATAAACCACAAAATTTACGATCTTTCAACTCTTGTTTTTCACCAAAATAACGTTCTAATAAGAGCCCCCTATTTCTAATTTTGAGAGCGCCCTGGGCGCTTATTATGTCGAATAAGGTAAATGTATTTGTTAAGCTGCAACAAAAGCAGATTGCTTGCAACATTGCTGGCACACAATGGCATATGACAAGACACCAATAAAAAGATTGTTACCGGTACATCCCCAATGTATACATCTATTCTTTTTGGATAATAACATCCATTCACTATCATAGCTTCGTTTTAGGAGTGACATCTCAGTCTCTCTTATCTCAGTATTTCTTGCCTGTGAGCTTTGATTTTTGTTTGATTGTTTGTTTGTTGTTTAACGCCACAATCAGCAATATTCCAGCTATATGACGGTGGCCTGTAAATAATCGAGTCTGGACCAGACAATCCAGTGGTTGACATCATGAGCATCAATCCACGCATTTGGGATACGATGACATGCATCATGAATATAGGGCTGAGTTGTTTCAAGTATTCTCTACTTGAGTATTACCGTATTCGACGTAATAAGCTCCCCGCTCTAATAAGCGCCCACGGCGATATTTGATACTATATTGGCTAGTGAACAATCCCAATTAGCACTGCTTACGAATGTTCAATGCACACAAGACTTATTTATTCGTGTATAATACGTGTGTTATATGCATCCTTAATTATGGGAAATTAAATTCGCCACAATCAGCAATATTCCAGCTATATGACGGTGGCCTGTAAATAATCGAGTCTGGACCAGACAATCCAGTGGTTGACATCATGAGCATCAATCCACGCATTTGGGATACGATGACATGCATCAACCAAGTCAGCGAGTCTGACCACCCGATCCTGTTAGTCGCCTCTTACGACAAGCAAAGTCGCCTTTTACAGCTAGCTTGGGTTCCTGAAGACCTATTCTACCCCGGATCTTCACGGGTCCTGTGAGCTTTAAAATCATCAACCAATGAAATTGATTTCTATGAAATCATGATTGTGGGTTCGAATCCCGGTTCCCCCCGATTATTTTTCGATTTTGTCTGCACCATACCTGTGCTGTAGGTGTTACCAAAGTCATAAATGGCTGACTCTGAGATATGCATCACTTCAGGCTTTCCTTCAACAATAAAATGACATGCTGTTGTACAACTGGAATACTGTTAAAAGTGGTGTAAAACCAAACTTTCCCACTTACTTCTTAAAGAGTATGGCATAGATCTAATTTCAAAATTGTGGCTTTATAGGAGTCCTCGATACATTTATTCAAATCAGAAAATTGTTATAAATGACTTAAGCAGGGTAATATTTAAGATAGGATAGGCAAGGCAAACACTCATGATATTGTAACTTGTTTCGATCAAGAAAGAAGAGGGTAATTTGATTGGCTGGATATTATTAGTATCATGTCATTTGAACTCAACTCCAAACAGGAGTGGTCGGGTAGCCTAGTGGTTAAAGCGTTCGCTCGTCACGCCGAAGACCCAGGTTCGATTTCCAACAATTTGTGAAGCCCATTCCTGGTATCCCCCGCCATGATATTGCTGGAATGTTGCTAAAAGCGGCGTAAAACCATACTCACTCACTCACTCGACTCCAAACGAAGCTATGGTTATGAATGGGTCCAGGGCTCACTTGCACAAAGCGATCTTAGCGCTAAGATGATGTTAACTCCCATACTTTAACATAGGCTTACAATAGTCTTAGCGCTAAGATCGTTTTGTGCAAGTGGGCCCAGGGTATCTAGAAAACAGAATGGAGATAAAATACCCAGGATAGTCGAGGCTCAGTTCACTGATGCTGTAGAAGCAAAGACATTGTGACAAAAGTGTTTCATGTTTGATGTCCTGAATCTTAGCTGTGAATCACTGCTGTGAATTGATATGCATAATAGAAAATAATATTCACACCACCCACCACCCACCCCTTCCCCTTGACCAAAACAACCTGTTTTTGTGTTTTTCATTTAAACAATTCCTTATTCTTTCTGGTTAGAACCATGGCCTTGTCACAGTGAAAACTGTAGTCAACATTAAAAAATGTCAAAGGAGCTGTAGTGTACAAACTGTTAATCTTCAGTCTTAGTAGGGTGTGCTTATTACAGCGAATATGGTAAATCAAAATAAATTTTTAAAAGCAGCAATCATAGAAAATGAAACTACAGTCAAAAAAACACTTCACTGACCAAACTGACACTTGTATATGAAAAACAAATCTGATGTATTTTTATGAACAAATACATTTATTGAACAATTATTTTACATGTCATTCATACAATGTATTACATCTTATTCATATGGTTCTTCCCAATACAGTGTTTCCAAATGGCTTCATTGTTTGTTACTAAAATCCATGTCAGGGTAGTGAATATTATATTGATACAAACAAGACAACATAATCAATCAGCTGGTCACAAAGCAAGGCAGTTGAATCTAGCACTGTAACTCCTTCATATCACAGTGCCTGCTAAATGCAGGGGCAAAGTCCAGAGAGACATGCAGATCCTGCCTCATTTAAGGGCCACAACTCTGCATTGTGATTTGAAGCAATTTGGTCCACCTGTGACCTTCCTAATTGCAAATTACAGAAAAGACAAAAATGTTTGCTTGTCCAAGAGAAAGTAAACTTTTGAAGGCTACTTATCCAAATATATAAAGTATCTGTATTGTATTCTATAGCCCTCTATCACACCAGGTTTGACCTTGAGATTCCAGTTGCTTATTTCAACAAATTTCTCACCCAAATATCAATAATGAAAATTTATATATTATCATGTTTCGCAAGCCTTCACAATGTACAGGTGAATTGCTATGTATTCTGTCAACATTCCAGAGTTTAGATATTTTACTTACTGTCGGTGACACCTTGGATTAGATGCACTTAAAAAACTAAAAAGCAGATTTAAACATGATCGACATGTTTGTATCAATATAATTTCACTGGCAGTTTTGCATAATATCAATCCTATTATTCATGTACACTGACTCCACCTCCACGAGACAGGATTCTTCTGCGAAGATGGCACACTGTCCTGAGCTATGTCAGAGTCTACTGCTAGCTGCGACATTGTAGGTACTGTATTCGACATAATAAGCGCCCAGGGCGCTCTCCAAATTAGAATTAGGGGACTCTTATTAGAACATTTTTTGGGTGAAAAACAACAGAGTTCAAAGAGGTTTATGCTGAAATGTTTATAAACGACAGATATATTTTTCCCGAATTTAATTACCCATAATTAAGGGTGCATATAACAAACGTATTAGGCTCGAATAAAAAAGCCTTGTGTACATTTATCAAATCAATCGGAAGGGGTGCTAATTGGGATTGTTCACTAGCAAGTATATTAGCAAATATCGCCGTGGGCGCTTATTACGACGAATACGGTATTTACTGCTCCTCTTTTACACTATCTGACATCCACTGGCCGCCCATATACAGCGATTCACGCCTTCATAACATTCTACACTGCACTGGCCTTCATAAGCTCGTACAATTTCAGAATATCATGGAAACTTTTATGTTCCTTGTTCCCAACCATTCTCCTTAGAATACCGCCAAACCGTTCCTATTTAAATGTAGGAGTCTAAAAACACGAAGGGGTCAAGTTTATTGCCTTGGCAGCTGTTACTATTTTTAGATAGATCGAGGTAGTAAATTCAACGCTTTCGTGTTTACATATTCGTCAAGTTTCGACCAAATACATTTGTGAATTGAAATATTTGGTGTACTTGGAAGATATACTACTCCAAAAAAGTTACAGAACATCTGATGCACCCCATAACGACAGTATCAGGTGAGGTGAGGTGAAATGGGGTTCAATGTCGCGTCCAAGATTATTGCACTTATATAGCGACGTGCATGCGTGTGTGTGTGCGTGTGCGTGTGGCTGCTTGTACTAGTCCGGACTGATGCTGAGTTATAGTGCTAGCACACTGAGATACCATGCCGCAGTTAAACATGAATACCCAACTCAGACACAGTATACTGACTCCGAGCCGACCAGTCCTTGTTTTAGCCCCTTAATGCCGAGCGCCAGACAGGGTAACAACAAGTACCATCTTTCAACGTCTTTTGGTATGACGTGGCTGGGGATCGAACCCCGGACCTTCCGCTCTCCGGGCGGACGCTCTACCATTAGACCACGGAGGCAGTCTGACAGTATCAGGTGTTCTTTAACTTCTGTTGGGTAGTATAAATGGTTTGAGAGCTAGTTGGTATTGAAAATGTCCATGATAGTCAGTAATTTGCATCTGATGGAGCTTGTGAAGCTAAGTGCAATTTGAGCACCAGATTTTTAGTAGAACTTTATAACTTTATGAAGGTGTGAATCATGGCTTTGTATTAGCGACCTGTAGGTGTCAGATTGTACAAGCGGAGCGGTTTACATAGATACGGTTTCACAGCGAATGTACTGCATGCTTCCCCGATACTCTACAAGTGGACAGCCACATTGGTCCATTCTATACATTGTTGTTTGTTGTTGAACCTGTGATGTGCAGTATGTGTAATAAACATTTGCTTTATTCACGTTGTTTGTTGTTTCCATCCTGGCCAAAAAACCAAGTGAGTTTGGTTTGAGTGTGTGAGGTGGGTTTGAGTGTGTGAGGTGGGTTTGAGTGTGTGAGGTGGGTTTGAGTGTGTGAGGTGGGTTTGAGTGTGAGTTTGGTTTGAGTGTGTGAGGTGGGTTTGAGTGTGTGAGGTGGGTTTGAGTGTGTGAGGTGGGTTTTAGTGAGTTGGGTCTGTTTGTTGTTTGTTGTTATGTTGTTTTATACTGCACTCAGCAATATTCCTGCTGTATGACGGCGGTCTGTAAATAATCGAGTCTGGACCAGACAGTCCAGTGATTGATGTGATTGACATCATGAGCATCGATCCACCCAAT